TACACTCATACACTCACTCACTCATACACTCACTCACTCATACACTCATACACTCACTCACTCACTCATGCACTCACTCATACACTCACTCACTCACTCATACACTCACTCACTCACTCATACACTCACTCACTCATACACTCACTCATACACTCACACACTCACTCATACACTCACTCAGTCACTCACTCATACACTCACTCATACACTCACTCAATCATACACTCACTCACTCATACACTCACTCATGCACTCACTCACTCATACACTCAATCATACACTCACTCACTCATACACTCATTCACTCATACACTCACTCACTCATACACTCACTCATACATTCACTCACTCATACACTCACTCACTCACTCATGTGTGTGTGTGTCTGTGTGTGTCTGTGTGGGTGTGTCTGTATGTGTGTGTATCTGTGTGTGTGTCTGTGTGTGTCTGTGTGTGTGTCTATGTGTGTGTGTCTGTGTGTGTGTGTCTGTGTGTCTGTGTGTGTCTATGTGTGTGTGTGTGTGTCTGTGTGTGTGTGTCTGTGTGTGTGTCTGTGTGTGACTGTGTGTGTCTGTGTGTGTGTGTCTGTGTGTGTGTCTATGTGTGTGTGTCTGTGTGTGTGTGTCTGTGTGTCTGTGTGTGTGTCTGTGTGTGTGTGTCTGTGTGTGTCTGTGTGTGTGTGTGTCTGTGTGTGTCTGTGTGTGTGTGTGTCTGTGTGTAGGTACTCTGCCACTAAGGCGGTGCTGGTGGCCATGCTGTGCACGTGCTTCGATGCCTTCAATGTGCCGGTGTTCTGGCCCATTCTGGTCATGTACTTCCTGCTGCTGTTCTGCATCACCATGAAGAGGCAGATCAAGGTACACCGCCACACTCACCACACTCACCACACTCACCACACTCACCACACTCACCACACTCAACACACTCAACACACTCACCACACTCAACACACTCAACACACTCAACACACTCACCACACTCAACACACTCAACACACTCACCACACTCAACACACTCAACACACTCAACACACTCACCACACTCAACACACTCAACACACTCAACACACTCACCACACTCAACACACTCAACACACTCACCACACTCAACACACTCAACACACTCAACACACTCAACACACTCAACACACTCAACACACTCAACACACTCAACACACTCAACACACTCAACACACTCAACACACTCACCACACTCAACACACTCACCACACTCACCACACTCACCACACTCAACACACTCAACACACTCAACACACTCAACACACTCACCACACTCACCACACTCAACACACTCAACACACTCAACACACTCACCACACTCACCACACTCAACACACTCAACACACTCAACACACTCACCACACTCACCACACTCACCACACTCACCACACTCACCACACTCACCACACTCAACACACTCAACACACTCACCACACTCAACACACTCACCACACTCACCACACTCACCACACTCACCACACTCAACACACTCAACACACTCAACACACTCAACACACTCAACACACTCACCACACTCAACACACTCAACACACTCAACACACTCGCCACACTCGCCACACTCAACACACTCAACACACTCAACACACTCAACACACTCACCACACTCACCACACTCAACACACTCAACACACTCAACACACTCACCACACTCACCACACTCACCACACTCAACACACTCACCACACTCAACACACTCAACACACTCAACACACTCAACACACTCAACACACTCAACACACTCACCACACTCACCACACTCACCACACTCAACACACTCAACACACTCACCACACTCAACACACTCAACACACTCAACACACTCAACACACTCACCACACTCACCACACTCACCACACTCAACACACTCAACACACTCACCACACTCACCACACTCAACACACTCAACACACTCACCACACTCACCACACTCACCACACTCACCACACTCAACACACTCACCACACTCAACACACTCACCACACTCACCACACTCAACACACTCAACACACTCAACACACTCAACACACTCGCCACACTCGCCACACTCACCACACTCAACACACTCAACACACTCAACACACTCACCACACTCAACACACTCACCACACTCAACACACTCAACACACTCACCACACTCAACACACTCACCACACTCAACACACTCAACACACTCAACACACTCAACACACTCACCACACTCACCACACTCACCACACTCAACACACTCACCACACTCACCACACTCACCACACTCAACACACTCAACACACTCAACACACTCACCACACTCAACACACTCAACACACTCACCACACTCAACACACTCAACACACTCAACACACTCACCACGCTCAACACGCTCAACACGCTCGCCACGCTCAACACACTCAACACACTCACCACACTCAACACACTCAACACACTCAACACACTCAACACACTCAACACACTCACCACACTCAACACACTCAACACACTCAACACACTCAACACACTCAACACACTCACCACACTCAACACACTCAACACACTCACCACACTCAACACACTCAACACACTCAACACACTCAACACACTCACCACACTCAACACACTCAACACACTCAACACACTCACCACACTCAACACACTCACCACACTCAACACACTCAACACACTCAACACACTCACCACACTCAACACACTCACCACACTCACCACACTCACCACACTCACCACACTCAACACACTCAACACACTCACCACACTCAACACACTCAACACACTCAACACACTCAACACACTCAACACACTCACCACACTCACCACACTCAACACACTCAACACACTCACCACACTCACCACACTCAACACACTCAACACACTCAACACACTCAACACACTCAACACACTCGCCACACTCACCACACTCAACACACTCAACACACTCGCCACACTCACCACACTCAACACACTCAACACACTCAACACACTCAACACACTCACCACACTCAACACACTCAACACACTCACCACACTCAACACACTCAACACACTCAACACACTCAACACACTCACCACACTCAACACACTCACCACACTCACCACACTCACCACACTCAACACACTCAACACACTCAACACACTCAACACACTCAACACACTCGCCACACTCGCCACACTCAACACACTCAACACACTCAACACACTCAACACACTCACCACACTCAACACACTCAACACACTCAACACACTCACCACACTCACCACACTCAACACACTCACCACACTCAACACACTCAACACACTCAACACACTCAACACACTCAACACACTCAACACACTCAACACACTCAACACACTCAACACACTCACCACACTCAACACACTCAACACACTCAACACACTCAACACACTCAACACACTCAACACACTCAACACACTCACCACACTCAACACACTCACCACACTCAACACACTCAACACACTCAACACACTCAACACACTCAACACACTCAACACACTCAACACACTCAACACACTCACCACACTCAACACACTCAACACACTCAACACACTCAACACACTCACCACACTCAACACACTCAACACACTCACCACACTCAACACACTCAACACACTCAACACACTCACCACACTCACCACACTCACCACACTCAACACACTCAACACACTCAACACACTCAACACACTCAACACACTCAACACACTCAACACACTCACCACACTCAACACACTCAACACACTCAACACACTCAACACACTCAACACACTCAACACACTCAACACACTCAACACACTCAACACACTCAACACACTCAACACACTCAACACACTCAACACACTCAACACACTCAACACACTCAACACACTCAACACACTCAACACACTCAACACACTCACCACACTCAACACACTCAACACACTCACCACACTCACCACACTCACCACACTCACCACACTCAACACACTCAACACACTCACCACACTCACCACACTCAACACACTCAACACACTCAACACACTCACCACACTCAACACACTCAACACACTCAACACACTCACCACACTCAACACACTCAACACACTCACCACACTCACCACACTCAACACACTCAACACACTCAACACACTCACCACACTCAACACACTCACCACACTCACCAGACTCACCACACTCAACACACTCAACACACTCAACACACTCAACACACTCAACACACTCACCACACTCAACACACTCAACACACTCAACACACTCACCACACTCACCACACTCACCACACTCAACACACTCGCCACACTCGCCACACTCAACACACTCAACACACTCAACACACTCAACACACTCACCACACTCACCACACTCAACACACTCAACACACTCAACACACTCAACACACTCACCACACTCAACACACTCAACACACTCACCACACTCACCACACTCAACACACTCAACACACTCAACACACTCACCACACTCAACACACTCAACACACTCAACACACTCAACACACTCAACACACTCACCACACTCAACACACTCAACACACTCGCCACACTCAACACACTCGCCACACTCAACACACTCAACACACTCAACACACTCACCACACTCACCACACTCACCACACTCACCACACTCACCACACTCACCACACTCACCACACTCAACACACTCGCCACACTCAACACACTCAACACACTCAACACACTCAACACACTCAACACACTCACCACACTCACCACACTCACCACACTCAACACACTCAACACACTCAACACACTCACCACACTCAACACACTCAACACACTCAACACACTCAACACACTCACCACACTCACCACACTCAACACACTCAACACACTCAACACACTCAACACACTCACCACACTCACCACACTCACCACACTCAACACACTGACCACACTCACCACACTCAACACACTCACCACACTCACCACACTCAACACACTCACCACACTCACCACACTCACCACACTCACCACACTCAACACACTCAACACACTCAACACACTCAACACTCAACACACTCAACACACTCAACACACTCAACACACTCAACACACTCAACACACTCAACACACTCACCACACTCAACACACTCACACACTCAACACACTCAACACACTCAACACACTCACCACACTCAACACACTCAACACACTCAACACACTCACCACACTCAACACACTCAACACACTCAACACACTCAACACACTCACCACACTCACCACACTCACACACTCAACACACTCAACACACTCACCACACTCACCACACTCAACACACTCAACACACTCAACACACTCAACACACTCAACACACTCACCACACTCACACACTCAACACACTCAACACACTCACCACACTCAACACACTCAACAAACTCACCACACTCACCACACTCAACACACTCAACACACTCACCACACTCAACACACTCACCACACTCACCAGACTCACCACACTCAACACACTCAACACACTCAACACACTCAACACACTCAACACACTCACCACACTCAACACACTCAACACACTCACCACACTCAACACACTCACCACACTCAACACACTCAACACACTCAACACACTCAACACACTCACCACACTCGCCACACTCGCCACACTCAACACACTCAACACACTCAACACACTCAACACACTCAACACACTCAACACACTCACCACACTCACCACACTCACCACACTCACACACTCACACACTCAACACACTCAACACACTCACCACACTCACCACACTCACCACACTCATCACACTACACTCACCACACTCACCACACTCAACACACTCAACACACTCACCACACTCAACACACTCAACACACTCAACACACTCACCACACTCACCACACTCACCACACTCACCACACTCAACACACTCGCCACACTCACCACACTCACCACACTCACCACACTCATCACACTCAACACACTCAACACACTCACCACACTCAACACACTCAACACACTCAACACACTCAACACACTCAACACACTCAACACACTCACCACACTCAACACACTCGCCACACTCAACACACTCAACACACTCAACACACTCAACACACTCAACACACTCAACACACTCAACACACTCAACACACTCAACACACTCAACACACTCACCACACTCAACACACTCGCCACACTCGCCACACTCGCCACACTCAACACACTCAACACACTCAACACACTCAACACACTCACCACACTCACCACACTCACCACACTCAACACACTCAACACACTCAACACACTCGCCACACTCACCACACTCACCACACTCAACACACTCAACACACTCAACACACTCAACACACTCACCACACTCACCACACTCAACACACTCAACACACTCAACACACTCAACACACTCACCACACTCACCACACTCATCACACTACACTCACCACACTCACCACACTCAACACACTCAACACACTCACCACACTCAACACACTCAACACACTCAACACACTCACCACACTCACCACACTCACCACACTCAACACACTCACCACACTCACCACACTCAACACACTCACCACACTCACCACACTCACCACACTCAACACACTCGCCACACTCACCACACTCACCACACTCACCACACTCATCACACTCAACACACTCAACACACTCACCACACTCAACACACTCAACACACTCAACACACTCAACACACTCAACACACTCACCACACTCAACACACTCGCCACACTCGCCACACTCAACACACTCAACACACTCAACACACTCAACACACTCGCCACACTCACCACACTCACCACACTCACCACACTCACCACACTCAACACACTCAACACACTCACCACACTCACCACACTCACCACACTCAACACACTCACCACACTCAACACACTCAACACACTCAACACACTCAACACACTCAACACACTCACCACACTCACCACACTCAACACACTCAACACACTCAACACACTCACCACACTCAACACACTCAACACACTCAACACACTCAACACACTCAACACACTCACCACACTCACCACACTCACCACACTCAACACACTCAACACACTCAACACACTCGCCACACTCACCACACTCAACACACTCAACACACTCAACACACTCAACACACTCACCACACTCACCACACTCACCACACTCAACACACTCGCCACACTCAACACACTCAACACACTCAACACACTCAACACACTCGCCACACTCAACACACTCAACACACTCAACACACTCAACACACTCAACACACTCAACACACTCACCACACTCACCACACTCAACACACTCAACACACTCAACACACTCACCACACTCACCACACTCAACACACTCAACACACTCAACACACTCACCACACTCACCACACTCAACACACTCAACACACTCACCACACTCAACACACTCAACACACTCAACACACTCAACACACTCAACACACTCAACACACTCGCCACACTCACCACACTCAACACACTCAACACACTCAACACACTCACCACACTCAACACACTCAACACACTCAACACACTCAACACACTCAACACACTCAACACACTCAACACACTCACCACACTCAACACACTCAACACACTCAACACACTCACCACACTCAACACACTCAACACACTCAACACACTCAACACACTCACCACACTCACCACACTCAACACACTCAACACACTCAACACACTCACCACACTCACCACACTCAACACACTCAACACACTCAACACACTCAACACACTCAACACACTCACCACACTCAACACACTCAACACACTCAACACACTCACCACACTCAACACACTCAACAAACTCACCACACTCAACACACTCAACACACTCAACACACTCACCACACTCAACACACTCACCACACTCACCAGACTCACCACACTCAACACACTCAACACACTCAACACACTCAACACACTCAACACACTCACCACACTCAACACACTCAACACACTCACCACACTCAACACACTCACCACACTCAACACACTCAACACACTCAACACACTCGCCACACTCGCCACACTCGCCACACTCGCCACACTCAACACACTCAACACACTCAACACACTCAACACACTCAACACACTCACCACACTCACCACACTCAACACACTCAACACACTCAACACACTCAACACACTCAACACACTCACCACACTCAACACACTCAACACACTCACCACACTCACCACACTCACCACACTCACCACACTCAACACACTCACCACACTCACCACACTCAACACACTCAACACACTCAACACACTCAACACACTCACCACACTCACCACACTCACCACACTCAACACACTCACCACACTCACCACACTCAACACACTCAACACACTCAACACACTCACCACACTCACCACACTCACCACACTCATCACACTCACCACACTCACCACACTCACCACACTCAACACACTCAACACACTCACCACACTCAACACACTCAACACACTCACCACACTCACCACACTCACCACACTCACCACACTCAACACACTCGCCACACTCACCACACTCACCACACTCACCACACTCATCACACTCAACACACTCACCACACTCACCACACTCACCACACTCAACACACTCACCACACTCAACACACTCACCACACTCACCACACTCACCACACTCACCACACTCACCACACTCACCACACTCACCACACTCAACACACTCAACACACTCACCACACTCAACACACTCAACACACTCACCACACTCACCACACTCACCACACTCACCACACTCAACACACTCAACACACTCAACACACTCAACACACTCAACACACTCAACACACTCACCACACTCAACACACTCACCACACTCACCACACTCACCACACTCAACACACTCAACACACTCACCACACTCACCACACTCAACACACTCAACACACTCACCACACTCAACACACTCAACACACTCACCACACTCAACACACTCAACACACTCACCACACTCACCACACTCACCACACTCACCACACTCAACACACTCGCCACACTCACCACACTCACCACACTCACCACACTCACCACACTCAACACACTCGCCACACTCACCACACTCACCACACTCACCACACTCATCACACTCAACACACTCACCACACTCACCACACTCAACACACTCAACACACTCACCACACTCATCACACTCACCACAATCACCACACTCAACACACTCAACACACTCACCACACTACACTCACTACACTCGCCACACTCACCACACTACACTCACCACACTCAACACACTCAACACACTCAACACACTCACCACACTACACTCACTCCACTCACTACACTCACTACACTACACTCACTACACTACACTCACCACACTCACCACACTCACAATACTACACTCACCACACTCACTACACTACACTCACTACACTACACTCACCACACTCACCACACTCACCACACTACACTCACTACACTCACTACACTCACTACACTACACTCACTACACTACACTCGCCACACTCGCCACACTCACCACACACACTACACTACACTCACCACACTCACTACACTACACTCACTACACTCACTACACTACACTCACCACATTCACCACACTCACTACACTACACTCACCACACTACACTCACCACACTACACTCACCACACTCACTACACTCACCACACTCACTACACTCACTCACTACACTCACTACACTCACCACACTCACCACACTCACCACACTCACCACACCACACTCACCACACTCACCACACACACCACACTACACTACACTCACCTCACTACACTCGCTACACTCACCACACTCACCCCACTACACTCACCCCACTACACTCACCCCACTACACTCACTACACTACACTCACTACACTACACTCACTATACTCACCACACTACACTCACCACACTCACCACACTCACCCCACTACACTCACTACACTCGCTACACCACACCATCTATCTGTGTGTGTCTGTGTGTGTGTGTGTCTGTGTGTGTGTGTGTCTGTGTGTGTATCTGTGTGTCTGTGTGTGTGTATACTATGTGTGTGTGTACCATGTATGTGTGTCTGTGTGTGTGTGTACACTGTGTGTACACTGTGTGTACACACACACACACACATTACCACACACAGTGACAGCGATTATCTGAACCCGCCCTGGGCCTCCCCTAGGTCGACTCGGCCTCAAATGAGTGACCTGGTGTAGCGGTGGTGGTGGTGTAGTGGTGGTGTAGTGGTGGTGGTGGTGGTGTAGTGGTTGTGGTGGTGTAGTGGTGGTGTAGTAGTGGTGGCGGTGGTGTAGTGCTAGTGGTGTAGTGGTGGTGGTGGTGTAGTGGTGCTGTAGTGGTGGTGGTGGTGTAGTGAACATCACTAGCCACTGGGGGAGAGACAAAGACGGCCGGGCGTGGTGCTGCTGGGCCACCCACCCCCTCTGTGTGTGACCCACAGTGCCCCCGGTAGCCTCCATAGGCAGCCCTGCTGCTGTTGCTGCTGCTGCTGTTCGCTGGCTAACTCAGCACTTGCCCCTACAGTCTGATGAGGCTATGTGCGGTGTTGCTTTGTCTGTGTCCGTGTGCTCTATGGCGCTTGCAGCACATGATCAAGTACCGGTACCTCCCGTTCACGCACGGCAAGACTCGCTACCGGGGGAAGGAGGACACGGGGCGTGTCGTGGCCAGCTAGAGACACGCCGAGACGACACGGGGAGAGACACGGGGACACACGGGGAGAGACACGGAGACACACACACGGGGAGAGACACGGAGACACACGGGGAGAGACACGGAGACACACACACGGGGAGAGACACGGAGACACACACACGGGGAGAGACACGGGGACACACGGGGAGAGACACGGAGACACACACACACACACACGGGGAGAGACACGGAGACACACGGGGAGACACGGAGACACACACACACACGTGGAGAGACACGGAGACACATGGGGAGAGACACACACACGTAGACACACACACACGGGGAGAGACACACACACACACGGGGAGAGACACGGAGACACACGGGGAGAGAGACACACACGTAGACACACACACACACGGGGAGAGACACACACACACGGGGAGAGACACGGAGACACACGGGGAGAGAGAGACACACACACGTAGACACACACACACACGGGGAGAGACACGGGGACACACGGGGAGAGACACGGAGACACACACACACACACACACGGGGAGAGACACGGAGACACACGGGGAGACACGGAGACACACACACGTGGAGAGACACGGAGACACATGGGGAGAGACACACACACGTAGACACACACACACGGGGAGAGACACACACACACACGGGGAGAGACACGGAGACACACGGGGAGAGAGACACACACGTAGACACACACACACACGGGGAGAGACACACACACACGGGGAGAGACACGGAGACACACGGGGAGAGAGAGACACACACACGTAGACACACACACACACGGGGAGAGACACGGAGACACACGGGGGGAGAGACACACACACGTAGACACACACACGGGGAGAGACACGGAGACACACACACACGGGGAGAGACACGGAGACACACACGTAGACACACACACGGGGAGAGACACGGAGACACACACACACGTAGAGACACACACACACGGGGAGAGATACGGAGACACACGGGGAGACACACACACACACACGGGGAAAGACACGGAGACACATGGGGAGAGACACACACACACACGGGGAGAGACACGGAGACACACACACACACGGGGAGAGACACGGAGACACACACACACACGTAGAGACACACACACGGGGAGAGACACACACACCCACGGGGAGAGACACACACACGTAGACACACACACACGGGGAGAGACACGGAGACACACGGGGAGAGACACACACACGGGGAGAGACACACACACACGGGGAGAGACACACACACGTAGAGACACACACACACGGGGAGAGACACACACACACACGGGGAGAGACACACGGGGAGAGACACACACACACACGGGGAGAGACACGGAGACACACGGGGAGAGACACACACACAGGGAGAGACACACACAGGGGGAGAGAGACACACACACACACGGAGACACACACACGTAGACACACACGGGGAGACACACACACACAGAGAGACACACACACACGGGGAGAGACACACGGGGAGAGACACACGGGGACGGGGAGAGACATGGAGACACACACGGGGAGAGATACGGAGACACGTAGACACACACACGGGGAGACACACACACAGACACACACGGTCACACACAGACACACACACGTAGACACACACACGCAGACACACACACAGACACACACACAGGCACACACACGTAGAGACACGCACGGGGAGACACGGAGACACACACACGTAGAGACACGCACGGGGAGAGACACAGGGAGAGACACAGAGACACACAGACGTAGAGACATGGAGACACGCGCACGTAGAGACACACACACGGGGAGAGACACGGAGATAAACACGGGGAGACACGCAGACATGCAGAGACACACACGGGGAGACACGGAGAGACAAAGGGAGACACGGGGGGAGACAACGGGAGACACGGGGACATGGGGAGTTAGTGGGAGACATGGGGAGAGAGTTGGAGACACGGGGAGTCAGTGCGAGACACGGGGAGTCACGGGGAGACAGAGAGAGACACACACAGCGTGAGACACACACACACGGTGAGACACACACACGGTGACACACACACGGTGACACACACACAGTGACACACACACACACGGTGAGACACACACACAGTGTGAGTCACACACGGTGAGACACACACACGGTGACACACACACACGGTGACACACACACACAGTGAGACACACACACAGTGAGACACACACACACAGTGAGACACACACACACAGTGAGACACACACACGGTGACACACACACACGGTGACACACACACACAGTGAGACACACACACAGTGAGACACACACACACAGTGAGACACACACACAGTGAGACACACACACAGACACACACGGTGAGACACACACACGGTGAGACACACACACAGTGGCACCCACAGTGAGACACACACACGGTGAGACACACACAGTGAGACACACACACACACGGTGAGACACACACACACACGGTGAGACACACGGTGAGACACACACACGGTGAGACACACACACAGTGAGACACACACACAGTGAGACACACACACACAGTGAGACACACACACAGTGAGACACACACAGTGAGACACACGGTGAGACACACACAGTGACACACACGGTGTGAGACACACACACGGTGAGACACACACAGTGAGACACACACACAGTGAGACACACACAGTGAGACACACACAGTGAGACACACGGTGAGACACACACACAGTGACACACACGGTGTGAGACACACACACGGTGAGACACACACAGTGAGACACACACACACAGGATGTGACACACACACAGGGTGTGAGACACACACACAGGGTGTGAGACACACAGTGAGACACACAGTGAGACACACACACACGGTGAGACACACACAGTGTGAGACACACACAGTGAGACACACACACACAGTGAGACACACACACGGTGAGACACACACACACGGTGAGACACACACACACGGTGAGACACACACACGGTGAGACACACACACACGGTGAGACACACACACACACAGTGAGACACACACACGGGGTGAGACACACACACGGTCAGACACGGGATGTGAGACACACACGGGGTGTGAGACACAAGGGGACCGCTGTCCTAATGGCCGTGCGGGTCGATGTTAGCACCGGGAGGTCGTGGATTCAGTTTTTGAGACACACACGGTGAGACACACACACGGGGTGAGACACGGGGTGTGAGACACACACAGTGAGACACGCACACGGGGTGAGACACACACACAGTGAGACACACACGGTGAGACACAAGGGGACCGCTGTCCTAATGGCCGTGCGAGTCGATTTTAGCACCGGGAGGTCGTGGATTCAGTTTTTGCTAAAAGTTGTCTTGAGGCCCTGGCGATCGAATAAAAGGGGCCTCACCAGGTGGGTGTGTGATTGTCTCGGTGATTGTCTCAGTGGTTGTCTCAGTGGTTGTCTCGGTGATTGTCTCGGTGATTGTCTCGGTGATTGTCTCGGTGATTGTCTCAGTGATTGTCTCAGTAATTGTCTCAGTGTGTGAGTGGGTGGGTGTGTGATTGTCTCAGTGATTGTCTCAGTGATTGTCTCAGTGTGTGAGTGGGTGGGTGTGTGATTGTCTCAGTGATTGTCTCAGTGATTGTCTCGGTGATTGTCTCAGTGATTGTCTCAGTGATTGTCTCAGTGTGTGGGTGGGTGTGTGATTGTCTCAGTGATTGTCTCAGTGTGTGAGTGGGGGATTGTCTCAGTGATTGTCTCGGTGATTGTCTCGGTGATTGTCTCGGTGATTGTCTCGGTGATTCTCTCAGTGATTGTCTCAGTGATTGTCTCGGTGTGTGAGTGGGTGGGTGTGTGATTGTCTCAGTGGTTGTCTCAGTGATTGTCTCGGTGATTGTCTCAGTGATTGTCTCAGTGTGTGAGTGGGTGGGTGTGTGATTGTCTCAGTGATTGTCTCAGTGATTGTCTCAGTGTGTGAGTGAGTGATTGTCTCAGTGATTGTCTCGGTGATTGTCTCAGTGATTGTCTCAGCGATTGTCTCAGCGATTGTCTCAGTGATTGTCTCAGTGTGTGAGTGGGTGGGTGTGTGATTGTCTCAGTGATTGTCTCAGTGTGTGAGTGGGTGATTGTCTCAGTGATTGTCTCAGTGTGTGAGTGGGTGGGTGATTGTCTCAGTGGTTGTCTCAGTGTTTGTCTCAGTAATTGTCTCAGTGGTTGTCTCAGTGATTGTCTCAGTGGGTGAGTGGGTGGGTGATTGTCTCAGTGATTGTCTCGGTGATTGTCTCGGTGATTGTCTCAGTGATTGAGTGGGTGGGTGTGTGATTGTCTCAGTGATTATCTCAGTGATTGTCTCGGTGATTGTCTCAGTGATTGTCTCTGTGATTGTCTCGGTGATTGTCTCAGTGGGTGGGTGATTGTCTCAGTGATTGTCTCAGTGGGTGGGTGGGTGATTGTCTCAGTGATTGTCTCAGTGATTGTCTCAGTGGGTGGTTGGGTGATTGTCTCAGTGATTGTCTGAATGGGTGGGTGGGTGATTGTCTCAGTGATTGTCTCAGTGATTGTCTCAGTGTGTGAGTGGGTGGGTGTGTGATTGTCTCAGTGATTGTCTCAGTGTGTGAGTGGGTGGGTGTGTGATTGTCTCAGTGATTGTCTCAGTGATTGTCTCAGTGTGTGAGTGGGTGATTGTCTCGGTGATTGTCTCAGTGATTGTCTCAGTGATTGTCTCAGTGATTGTCTCGGTGATTCAGTGATTGTCTCAGTGGTTGTCTCGGTGTGTGAGTGGGTGGGTGTGTGATTGTCTCAGTGATTGTCTCAGTGATTGTCTCAGTGTGTGAGTGGGTGGGTGTGTGATTGTCTCAGTGATTGTCTCAGTGTGTGAGTGGGTGATTGTCTCGGTGATTGTCTCGGTGATTGTCTCAGTGTGTGAGTGGGTGGGTGTGTGATTGTCTCAGTGATTGTCTCAGTGATTGTCTCAGTGTGTGAGTGGGTGATTGTCTCGGTGATTGTCTCGGTGATTGTCTCGGTGATTGTCTCAGTGTGTGAGTGGGTGATTGTCTCAGTGATTGTCTCTGTGTGAGTGGGTGATTGTCTCAGTGGTTGTCTCAGTGATTGTCTCAG